CTATTTACACCCGGGGAAAGGAACGCACTAGCGAAGTCTAAAGTTCATCAAATATCGTGGGCGCATGGCTCACCGTTCATGGGTGGTCATCCTAACTGATCTCAAAATATGTAGCGGACTGTCGTGAATAGTGAACACTGATTGGTCAAATTTGAAATTTGCACTATAACGACTGCATTGACGACAGCGAAATAACAAACATTTCTTTCAAGTTGTATTTTGGCAAGATTTTGTAAATTTCAAAACCTTTCTGAGAGCCAAAAAACGTCTAAAAACGTCTAAAAGAGTAGAGCAAAGTCGCCGATGTTAATTAAGGTAAGTTTGTTTTAAATATTGATGCATTGTTGTTTTATAATTGATATATTTATAACTGATAGTGGTGGGCGATACTGCGAATATCGAACTGATACTATCATAATTGCATATATAAGTGAAAAAAGACAGCATATAATTTAATCAGTTTAGTTTTATTAATTACCCTTTCTTTTGTATATTATATTATTTAAATAAAGAGGAGCAAAACAAAGTTGTTTTCATGCGAGAATTTGAAATCAGTGTATTTCAAACTCAATGTTTACCGATAATTCGATAAAAGGCCGTTTAGTTTTAAGAACATTTTAAAACGTTTTATACTTTCAATTCTTCATGTTCAGAAAACATAATGTTTTGTCAGTAAGGCGAAGGTTTCTGCATGCATGCATGCATGTATTTTCTAGTTTATATGAATATTTACTTTCAGGGTGCCGTAACACAGAGAACCAACTTAAGAGTGAAGACAGTAAATTTTCAATGGCGCACTCCATCGAGGCTCTCTGGAAACATTGTTTTCGTTGCTACGGTCATAAAAGACAGAGCTACATTCTGGGTAAAACTTCAGTCACCTCAACTTTCTAAGAGGGTAAGTATCATTCATCAAGTTACTGCGGCATGCGCATGCAGGAGTTAGACAATTATTGAGCGCGAAAAGTGGCAAGAGTTTATTGCTATAAGAGAGCTTTCGGAACCGGCTTCTACAGTATGTAAAGTGGCGCCGCCAGGATTTCAGTTTGGGAAGACAACTTGATCATTTGTGACATCACAATTCTGAATTTTATGTTTCTGAAACGCCATATCCTGCAATGAGGGGGGCACCTGGAGAAAAATGTATATAGGTCTCAATAATCACTTTTTAGTAGTGTGAAGCCAATGCGTTCAATTCGCATGCAGGAATTGAACGAATCTAAAACTACACTCTAACCCCCCACCTCGTCCCTAGCTTGACCGCGCCACTGTTGGAAATGGTTCATATATTAAAAAAAACTCGATTGTTATAAATACAGTTTTTAATATTTCTGATATGGTGTTACTCAATCTATTTGTCTAGGGAAACTAATACGGTAGAAGCATCAATGGCGTCATCAATTAAGAATTTCACCAACTGAAGACATAGTTATTGCATTGTTTTAATAATTAAAGTGCTCATTAACCGAATGTTGTCGTTTAGACTTATTTTTCGTATATGTCGTTTAATTAAACTTATACAGCGAGTAGCGAAAAACAAGATGGCGGTACAAAAACTGCAAGAGCTTTGCAAAATAGAAAAAAGGGGAAAATTAGCTTTAATTATAAAAAGGTTGAATATACTAGAAAAAACACCAAAAATTTTTTGACAGGTTAACAAAAACATTCATTATATATAGAAACGGATTTATATATACAAGTCTTTTAAATGAATTGATAACTATAAAGAGCAGCGAGAAAACCATGTTCACTGAGAATATAAATTTTTCGAAAAACGAATAAATTTGCGGTCAAAAATAAATTTGCACCTTAGTGTAAAGCATCTATATAAAATATTTCACTTTCCTGTCAGCAAAATGTTTTATAAAACTAATATCATTTTAGTCGATTTACTCGATTCTGATTGGTTAAAAACAGTACCGATTAAGGACTAATCTCACAGGCGTGCCGATTAAAGATTAATCCGAGCCCGCGCATGCATTAACACAAGATCTCAAAATATAAAAAAACAACTTGAAAATTTACATTTTCTGAGCTCTTATTTTGCAATGAGCTCTTTAGGTATATTTAAATATTAAAGACTAAATAAGAACTAAAGATTATATTCACAGTTTTTCACAGAAATTAATGTCATTAATTATGGCGATATTAATAGGAAATTACACTTGTTCTCGAAGTATTGAGTAGTTAATGAAAAATCACACTTATGTTTGGCGAAATATTTATAATACCGTTCGTGCTACGCATTCGCGGTATTATAAATATTTCGCCAAACACGTATGTGATATTTTCATTAATACTTCTCGAACCGTGTAATTTGGCCTATACAAATTATTTCATTTTAAGTTTTAAGATCAAAACACTTAAAATTTTCACAGCATGAGCTCCACCTTTGAATGTACTACATGAGTAAATTCTTAAACACGTCCGAATTTATCATTATGATAAATTCGCGGCACATTTTGAATTTATCATTATGATAAATTCGCGGCACCTAACCCAACCACTAATCCCTGACCACTAACCCCAAACCACTAACCCCTAACCACTAACCCCTAACCCTAATCTAACTTTTTAAACATTTTTGATTTTGCTTTTTTAAACTTTTTAAAACTTTTTTTTTGAAAATCTTGAAACATTAGTTCGATCGAGTGAGATACCCAAAAAGTAAATAATCCGAATAGAATACAATTAAGCTTTCAGCCGCGGTAGAACAAGGTTCAAATATATTCACAGTTCTTTTAAGATTTTTCTACATGACTTCATGCAGCTAACTGTCCCAACTGCAATTAACCGCACGCGCCGGATGTTAGCTTTTAGCCTGTTTTTTTAAATAGTTTTTGGCCTTTTTTTAACACTGCACTTGCGTTCCGAACGCGTTCCCAACGCGTTCTCAACGCATTCCAGAGGAAACTTAGAAACGCGTAATTGCCCACTTCAATCAACTGGGCTGAAACAAGCGTATCATGTAGGTTACATGTAGCATATACTTGCTACAGTTTATTTTAAATTGTCGGCTTGTATTTTTTTAAATTTTACGCATAACTAAGTCATTAGATATTACACATGCACGATTATAATTATTTGCAGTTAGTCATTAAAGTAAGGATATTAAAAACGTTAATATACACTTTCAGCAGGGTTGTGTTGTAAATTATGTCTGAAAATGAAGGAAAGCAGGCTTGATAGATATATAGATAGATTTATTCATGGTTAGAAATTTCATACACTGTGGAGTTAAAGCATGCGCATTTGGTACTTAGAAATTAATCCAAAATGGCTTCTTTAGTATAGGGTTTAAGCGGAAAATACACAAAATTAAGAATTTTAGCAATTTATGATTGTAAATTCCAACATGCGAACGTCTGAAACATTACCAAATCACACAATATATTATTTGTTAAATTATCGGAACAATTCGATCAGGCTGAATGGGTTGCCGAGCTCCTCGTCAACATATCTGTTATTCACTGTATAAAGTCCACTAATTGACCTTTTTTGTATTCTTGAGATGAAATTATGGCCATGCTTGCAAAATTGTTCAACCATGCGAACGTCAGAATATACTCCCGAATAACGATACTTTTATTCACGCTTGATTTTAGTCCAATTTAGTGGGTTCCCTAATGTCTTGAAATACGTTGTTTTAGAGGATCATAAGTCAGACACAGAGGCCATGATAGGAAAAATTTCAAAATATAATTGTCATTTTCGTATTCGTTTCATGATCTTTCCGCCATTGTTGTTGCTCGAAAGCTCTCAAAAGCTGTTTCCATGTTACTATGGCCTTTACTGCTGACCCTTGTTATTTCGTTGAGAATCTATCTTGTATGTTTTAAATATTTGCATAAAATATCGAAGTAATTGAAGTATTTTTAAATATGTACATATATCGCGATTTTGAATATTTGAAAAACAAGCAAAATTAATATATATTACAGTTGGCTTTTTTTTACTGAAGCAATCACTCTTTCTGCACTTCGTAATATTTTCTGGCCTTCTTCGTTGATCAGTTGTGCAAGGCCGGCAGTATACTTAAATTATTTAGTTCATTATAAAAGTGAACCGCCATCTTGAAAATTCCTGCAAATGAGCCTGCAATCGCATGCCGCTGAGTGTATGAAATTTCTAGCCATGAAACTTAAAAGGCTCGCAGCCTAAGCCTTGCACGTTGGCTGAATAATGTTAAGTTGTACCAGTAGTTAAAAGTTAAAAGTTAGATCGACTAACCGTATTAAAAATTAGTTCGATTCAATTACGTATGTATATGCATTACAATTAATAAAATCATTCTTAAATCTATTTGTCTTAAAATTAGGAATTTGAAACATTCTTCTTCCTCACAGGCATATTTCTGTGGAGTTCACTGAAGGCAATAATCAAGTCATGTATAGTTTGTTCTCAAGATCGTTGACTATATTTTTACAAAGTTTGTTAGTTAAGTTCTAGTGTCTTCTTGCAGCCAAGGTAGTGAGACCCAATTGATCCAGGGCTTCATTATTACCGATGATCTGTTAGAACCCCTTTGAAATTTGTATTCACAGTAATACAGTATTAGTAAAGCGACATTCCCATTTTTAACATTCCGCTTTTTCTTAAAAATTAAGGTATCCTGTGCAACGATATCTAAAATAATCATTCATTTCACTATTTATAGTTTAGGGCACTTTCAAAGAGACTTTTTATTCTAGTCGATTTTGTTGCTGCTACCTGTTTTCGACAAATTAACGCATCTGCAAACAAACTGCGCTTATGTTGGATTACATCATGCGTGCACCGCAAACCGCACTTACGCAGGTAAAATCACAAATCTTATATAAACAGTTTACAACGCAACTAACCGGCATGCATGCATGCATCCTTAGCTATTTCTTCATCTGTACAATCTGTATTATTTAGCCTGGTATTATTTAGAATAGATTTCGATAGCTGCAGCTGTAGTGATACGAATCTCGAAAACCATGTCTTCATTTGGCTTAAGAAATTCGTCCGTTTTCATAATGTTAATGATATGTTTGCTACTTCTTAATTGCATAACGGTTCCAGGATTGCTTAGACGAACAAGTAGGAGAACAACAACACGGAGAACAAGACGAACGCCTTCGACTCCAAAAATCACTGCCAGCACACCGCTCCCTGTGACATCCTTTACTTCAAGTATCATAAAGAGTCAAGCTCTGAATCCAACGTATCAGAATTCATTTCGGACCAGATTTCTCACCGGAGCAGTAAGAGGAGCGTTGGTGTACAGCTACTTGTATTCTGCAAATCGTGCTTATAGTGGCCTATACACTCCGTATGGAACATTAAATGTACTAATACCACAAAAACGGGCGCTGAGGATAGCCAAGGAAGAGTATAAAGTACAAACAGCTGACGGTATTGACTGCACTAGCGGTACATTAAGGGAGGACTACGCTACCTCAATAAAAAATGTGACAACGAAAATTGCGTATCAAATACCTGCACAACAAAATTCCGAAACCACTGCAAATCCTTCTGCAACAAATGTGAATCTGAAAGACGTGACAACTGTTGACAGTTATCCCGTAAGTATCGAGACACATTCCGAATATGATAGAAGTTTGATGATCGAAAGCTCCTATGTAAACTGCACGGACATTGTTTGCAATGTTGAAGCGCATATGATCAGAATGTATGACACAAATCCAAACTATAATTTCGCGGTTATAGACTTGGATTGAAATGGTATTCAATTCCATTGCTTTTATTGTCTTGTATATGTGCTACATACATATAGCTAACAGTATAATTGTATCTATAGACCTTATTCATAATTTGTAATCGGGGCCACTCGTATCCTAGGACACGGGAAAAAACGTGGGAGAACAAGCAAAACTGGCCTACTTGCTGAAAGGCCAAATCACTGCCAAGTTCAGGCACCTTTTTCTTGTTGTTTATTCCAAGTTACAACGACTTTCGTTCATATTTTAAAATTTTGTCCCAACAAACGAAAGCTAGAAACGAGACTACTATGAAAACGACCGTCCTTTCTCTATCCAGTTTCCATGTGGAAAATGTGAAAATATGACAATGTAACGATGGCCGTGGTTATCCAGGTAAAAAACAGTATTTTAGCAAGTTGAAATTGTAACGTCGATATTATAATATAGCTTATTCCGTGTAAAATCAAGACAACCATGGAAGGAAAGTTTTATTTCCATATTTTGCCATTAATATGAAAGGACACAAGTGGTTAAAACTCACGACGGAATTTGAAATGTTACTGATTCGCATCGAAAATGTTTTACTTATGTAGGCTATACACCATCCCTGCTCCTCGAAGAAATTCTTATGCAAGCAGTCTGAAGATTAACTGTGTGAGTTGTAATGCTTGATTTCTTTAACAAATTCTACTCTTCAAAAGTAAAGAATCTTAAATCGACCAAACCGAAGAGATGGTGGAAGGAGGTGAAGCAGATTGCTGATATGGTACCTACAACCGGCTCCGATGACCTATGTAGTCAACTACATTTAGACGATATTGAGAATATGCAACGTCCTGACATTGCGAATTTAATTAATAACGCCTTTTTGGAGCCCATGAACTCCTTCAATCCACTGTCAACCCTTCCCCCCTTTGATAATTATTCCTCCTTTCAAGTAAACGAATTGGAAGTCTTTCATTTATTGAAAGCAATTAATCGTGGAAAGGCGTCAGGTC